GGATTTATTGATAGTGATCACTACTGCTGTTGTTGCTCTTGCTATTTCATTCAAAAGTTCAGGGTCCAAACAAGAGAAATGAGTACAATTTGTGGAGTTACCCTTCACTCGCTCTGGAAACGTCTCAAATTTCAAAAACAATTATTTCAGTGGGCGCTTTATAAGCACTTTCACTCAACTTCGTCAGTTTGTCATATGCAACGAATTACTACTGAGCGAACCTGTACTGAATGTACATAGTTGACCGAATACTCCGTCTGAAATCCGAACGGCAACAGTGCGGACGGACCAAGACTTACACTGCAACAATCGACCATCTTTAAATCACGCAACTTGCCCGTCCAACACTAAAACAAGCTTTCGATAAAAAAATACGCGTCGCCCATCATTTTCATACCAAATCACAAGAAAACAACAAAAAAAAAAAGCTGGATCCCTTGATGGATTGCAAAATGTCGTTGCCGAACTGTCAATTTGTGCTGTCTCTAATTTACACAAACATCCCTACGAATATAGAATTATTGTTGCAGCTAATAAATAAGTCCACACTGCGTAGCCTAAGCAGCTCTGTACCGCGCATGGTTTCTCATTTTAAGACTCATTTCCGCAACTGCTGAGCTCAAGTTGCCTGTGTAACTTCTAAGCATTGTCAAAGTTGCCTGTGTAACTTCTTAGCATTGTCAACTTCCTAGTTATGCGTTTTTGCCGTGCAGCGCTAGAGCGCTGCAACAGGCACCAGAAACGCATATTGCAACGACCCTGTCAGCGTGTGTGCGTGTGTATGTTTGTGTGTGTATGTGTGTGTGTGTTCGTCTGTCCGGGTGTTCCAACTCGCTAACCGCGTAAGTTTTGGAGCTGAAATTTTGCCAGTGTGTTCCCCAGTCAGGTACCATCCCAGCACTGCAGTTTCAACTCCCATGCACGTCTGGGCCCCGCGTACGAGCACGTGAAAGATTTGGCGCGAAAATCGCTAACTCGGGAACGAGAAAAGCTAGAAAGCTGAAACCTTGGGAGAATGCTCCCCACCCGTATATGACAAAAAGATTTCAAATTCAGCTGCCCGGGACTGCCCCGGGGCTCACGTACGGGCACGTGAAGATTATGGCGGGAAAATTCATAACTCGAGAATGAGAAAA